CCTCGTTCGCCTAGTGTTCAAACCCACTCCCACACGTGCACCGCAAAGTACGTACTTATTATTGCACATGCTTACACTGCAAGCAAGCAAGGTCGTGTGTGTAAGTACTTGCACACTTGAGTATATACATACAGAGACAAAAACAAGGATCTCCGGTGTAGCCTGCTGGAGCAAGTGCTGTTCTCTCTGCTCTCTTTCGTATGGCATGGGGGGGGGGTGAGAAACAGTTTTTGTAAGTGTTATAGTTGAATGTTAAGGTCCTTCAACCCATCCAAGGAGGCGGTAGACGCTGTATGGATTACAGCAATACCGCCAGGATGTGCATGGATGGCGCACTCCTTGTTGATGTGTGTGATGGTTTGGGCTTCACAGTCGCAGTTCGGCGGTTCCTTAATCTTCCATTTATGAAATGTGTACCCGCAAGTGCTGTTAACGAACGCCATTTCCGGCACATTATACTGCGGTCAGCCATGCTGGACTACCTTTGTCTCCCCAGTGCTGATATTTACACACTGTACTAGCTGTTCATTTAAGGTTGAGTCGACATAGGAGAGGCTCAAAACTGGTTATGATGTCACTCGATACTGCCGTTAGCTTATGACCAGAAATCAAACCCAGCTTGTCAGGTCTGTAGCACATTGTGCAAACCATTAACTACATCACCGCTCTCCATCACACGTGCAAATACACCTGTTTGGGCCACACATGCTCTGGTGCATGCGTGTGATTTGGCAGAAACTGACGATCCGGAAATATTCAGTTCATCCAATTTAGTCGCTGCAGGCACACACACACACACATCCCGGAGGGTACACCGTCCCTAAAAATATCAGCTCTAGGGCTGATGCTGGCTACCCGCTGTGATACAAACAGCTGCACACCTAACAGCCTGATTAATGTTGCATCTGTAGCTTTTAATTCTTTCACTGCCGGCTGTGCGGTTGCTGATTCTGCAGTTGCACAAGGGTGTAGAGCCGAAGAAATGTAATATGTTGCGCGACATTTGAAATGGATGTTTTTGCCTTTTTATTGGACCTATACAATTTAACTAACAGTTTTGCTGAATGGGTTAGAGTGGTGGTGCAGTTAATAGCACATTGGTGTTTCGAATCTGGGGGCCTGCTTTTTATTCTTGGCCATGGCTAACATGTGCAGTGAGTGATAACTTGAACAATATGGCCCCAACACACCCCTGCCCCTGCCTCCTCCCTGCACCAACCTGCAGAGACCAGTGTGAAGTACGGTCAAACACATGCCCCTGTGACTGACACTGTGTCGGGAAACCTTCATACAGCAGTGGATTAACAAAGTGCCCTATATACGGGAAGGAGTTGTGGTGGTGGTTCGCCCACTATATAATCAACTGGAATATCTGAGTTCGATTCCTGCCCATGGCTAACATCAGTGGCGTCTGTTATTTGAACTGGCTCTGGGCCCCTACTTCAACCATTATTGGCATGGTGTGGGGAGGCTTGCACCTGACAATAGACTGACAAAAGGGCTGTAAAGTATTACTTTTAATTATATTTTGTTACTTTTACATCGCAAGATTGAGCGAGGTGACGGCGGCTTTATGAAGGTCTTCATCTAGCAGTGGCTTGACCATGATGATTGTTTTTTGACGCATTTTCCAACTTTATTTAGCTTACAATGTGGCTGCAGTGCCTCTCCTCATAGCGCTTAACTGGAATCATCAAAACAGCCATTGTGGCCAAAGGTCAAGAGACACTACCGCATTAATCTCTGTATAGACAATGGCTCCTCGGTTTGCTCGAATTTTACTAGGGTCTCAGCTGGCTGTTATTAAATTGATCCAAAATGACTGCGGCTCGCTTAGGGAATTTTGTTTCCATAATCTCCGTGACCCTTCTGCCCTGGAGGGCCCATTGCGGTGTTTAACCTTCAGAGGGAGATCTTAAAGGAGATGGAAATTAATGGCGATGTGTTTACTTGAGTCTAATTATGACGGGGCTCGGAGGGCCTGGCCTCCTGTGTGGCTTCCTACAAAGCAGGTGTTTGATATAAAGCAACTATATTGAAGATAATCAATCAAAATACACTGCATATGTTTAAGAGACAATGGTCTATCTTTCTGTTTAAAAATGTATGATTATTTTATTTTTCTTAGAGTTGAGGTGGCTGGGTAGCTCAGGACTCTGAGCAACTCAGCTGCCGCTGCTATAATTGTAGGGACGAATTAACAAATCTGCGCAACAACAAAAAAACCCCCTGTGTTTTAACATGTGTTGAGTTTGATGATGGTTTCTGTCTATTTGCACACACAATTTCATTTGTTTTGTATCCAATTAATTTAGACTTGTACCATCTGAGAGTTAAACATTTTACTTTGATTACCATGCAATGCACATTTCTCCGCGGGGCCAGTGAGGATAGCGCCGTGGCCCTTAATGTGGAAAACAAAAAGAGGGTCACTTTAAAGGGATTTCAGAAGTAGTGTGATATCTCCTTCCCCAGGCCGTCCTCTCTTCTGGAGACCACATTGACTTCCTGCAGGCCATTTGTAAGCACGGCTATATTTGGTCATATAATTAAACAAAAAGTGAACAGGTAATATAATATTTATTACCTTTCTATTGTTTATGCAGCGCGTGACAAAGGCTAGACATCCAGTAGCTTAAACACACAGAAGATACAACAAATTAAGAGAAAGTTGGTCACCTTCATCGTCAGCCTATCTCATTCGGCGCAGAGCATCAGTCATCAAGTGGTACAGCTGATAACAATTTTTACCTCTGAATGTAAAATTCTTCTCGGCACATTTTATTTTCAAAGGAGGACCTTCAAAGATATGAAAACGTCCCAGAGAGCAAGTGTATGCCAAGAACATGGAAGCCTTACCAGACACCTTTTGTGTACCGGTGAAAGACTCACGGAGTCTCAAGACTCTAATTGCATTTTTGATGTTTAAAAGTAAAGCAGCATAAGTATGCACATAAAAAAATCTGTTGAGACAGTGTGTTAAGGGAGCCTTTGTTCCGTTAGGTGCAAGAGCTACGCCCATGTGCACGCAATCTAATATACACGTGTAGTGAGTTCAACTGAGTCGCAGACACACTTCTTGGAGGCAACACATTAAAACCAACACATTAACAACCTATGGTGGTGGACCACCAGGCTAACTATACTAATTACACTGGGATTAGCTACGACGGACCGGACCCTGCCCCTGGGTCCAGGTCCACGTGTTGGTGACTCTTGTAGGACGTAGAATGCAGAATGTAGATTCTTCAGGATGAACAACAGCAGCTGGTCCCGCTCGGGGACCCGGCTTATATCCTCCCTGGCATGGCTGGCTCCGCCCTTAGCCACGACCACCTTCTAGAATCCTCTAGCAGGTTCTCGACCCTGACACGTGACCACACCCCTAGCCCCCACCTGGGGACCCTGTGTAGACTTTACCGGTCACGTGTCCTTCGGGGTCAACCAGAGTGCCATGGCCCTTGGAAACCCCATTCCCGTGGCCGGCACTCTCACACCCCCTATCCTGTAGGGTTCGGCACTGCACGCAGGGCGTGGTGCCACTCAGCACTGTCGGACAGCGCTCACCGAGCCCCTCCAGGGCCGGTACTGCACCCACATATACGTTGTGCCCGCGATGTCGCTACATCGCACGCCGTGCCTCTCTCGAGCCGGCATTACACAGTGACATCCGCGATGTCACTGCACACGTGCTAATCATATTGTGGTGTGCTTAATAATTATTCTAAAATAAAATATGAAACTTTCTAAAAATTAGTTTGTCACTACCCTTACTCCAAAACTATACAGAGCTGTGTCTAATGTGTAATAATGATTGGAGCAGTTATAATAGTTCATAGGTTTTAAAACTACATCATAGGACCTCCTTTGCCAGTACCAAAATATAAGAAGAGGTTTTCCACTTTTTTCTGGCAACAAAACAGTTGTGTTAAGATGTTAAAACATCAAACTGAAACCTTTTACAAGGAATCATGTCTCCATTAACCACAATACTTGTGGTCAGAATGCAAACAAAAAAAATACTCTGATAATGTATGCATTGTCTTTGAAACTGATTGGTCCACACCAGAGACAGCTTTGTTATCTCCAAGATTACATTTTTGTTATTTTTGCAGTATATTCAAATCGATGTATGACATGTTGTCATTTTCTTTGCTGTGTGTTCAAGGTTGACTGGAGCTGTGTCTGACACGCCTAGCATTGCAATTAACAAGCGGTACAGACAGACCTCAGCTATATTCACACTCGGGCTGGGGTTGGCTCCGCCAAGAGTAATTCATTCATTCATCATGCATACTCAGCGAAGGACCGTGGCACCAAACGTGTAACTGAGAGTAAGACGATTACTTTTTCGTGAATTCTGAGATGTTGCAAAATGCATTTGCCTGCACACAATGCTTGTGGATACGTCAAGGCTGTACATGATGAAAGTTTCACAAAATGCTTGCAGAATGTGTATTTTTACTTTATATATAAAAAAATGATTCCCTTTAATTTACCCAAGAAGGACTCCCTGAGTTTCGATTTAAAGCTTTCGTGACTGCAAGGATTCATCTTCTTTGGTTCTTTCGGTAAAGTCACGTAGAATGAGAATAAAATAATAAAATAAACGAACACAATAAAATTCTGACGACGTTTCGGCCACAACACAAGTGGCCTTCATCAGATGAAGGGAGAATTTTATTGTGTAATGTTATTTTATTATTTTATTCTCTTTCTATGTGACTTTACCGAAAGAACCAAAGAAGATGACTCCCCGAGTCTGAAGACTTTTTTTTCCCGGGAGGCTCCTGCTACCCTTGTATGTTTGGTCAAATCCATGAACGACTGTTGGGGTTCACGTGGGAGGTAAACGGATTACCTCGAGGAGACTCACTGTGGGGGTGCAGGTGACGTTATCACGCAGATGAGCATAGTGACGTCACCGCCGCAAACTTTCCCTGCTCATCAGCCGGCAAAATCTTTTTTTTTTCTCTCATATCATCTGATTATTCCCTTAGGAGGCACTGCAGACGCTGAAGGAACAAATGAACGCGGTGGCCAAGGAGAATGAGCAATTACACCAAGACTTGGTGACGTCAAAAGCAGCAGCGGGAAAGGAATGGTGAGATTGCATCATTACAAAGCTCCTGGTGTCGCACATACACCGCCCCCCTTACCCCCAAGTGTATCCACTTGTAATAATTTGTCATTTTTTGTACGGATTCCGACCGCAACGTGTTGGTTGTTGGTTCAAACCGCCCAACGCGACACTGATATGTTTCTTAAATTCCCCCCCCACCATCACCTCTTGTCCACTGGGCAGTATAAATCGGTAGGTTATGGTTAGTGGATCGGCAGGTCGCCCGTGGTGGAGCAAAGCATGGCTACTCCCACCTCTTCCAGGATGTCAGGCCATTGTGAAGGAGTAAGCCAAATATCCTTTCAAGGGGCTCTCCAGAGCTGCCTGTAGTGGAGATCCTTCTGACCACAGTGCCGTGAGCGACCAATTGCTGGGTCACACACGTACATTGACCTTTATTCAGGAAAGCTTCGCCATTTATTTAACAAGAAAACTTTTCAGCAGTGTTCTGCAACTTTGGGGATGTTTGATCAACTCCTTACCAGGGAGTGTTTACGCGTGTGGGAAAGAATTCGAGTACATTTACGGACATTAATCAGTCCACTGCTGGATCAGAACCTCCCTACGCTGGGCAATTTGTGGGGGTCATTTGACAGAACTTCACCATGGTTGTCAGTGCGGGTTGGTTAAGGCAGAGAACATAAACATGGGAACATAGAAATGATGTGAAATTTATTTTGCTGCACTGCCCTCTGGTGCTCACCACGTAGCTCCGCAGCCTATAACACCTTTGGTGCATAGTGATTGCTCATGCAGGCATTGTCCAGGCTCAAACCCTGCAGAGCTTCTGAGATCTGATGAGATTGGTCATAGGCTAAGGAACCAAGAGAAGCTGAAGAAAACCCCACGGGTATGAGGGGATCACACTCGAAACTCCACCACAGAGAGATTCCGGAATCAAATTTGCTGTACTGCAAATGTGTGGCCACCACGCAGCCAAGTGTCGTGTGCCACCACGCTCGGTTTGTGTTAAGCCTTCCGAGGTTTTCGCATTTGCATGCAGATTACAAAAATAATTTTCATTTTTTTTGCAGACTTGTTTTATTTCTCCTTTTGTCTCAGCTTCCATTCCCGAAAATAGTATCATCGCTGCAATTTATTTCCACTTTTCTGGCAATCCACAAAATGATTTATCAGTGTGACATTTTGTAAGCTGTGCACAATTTGCAAATAATGCAAACAGTAGCAGCAGCTGTTAGTTTTTATTATTACTCGTGCATCTTGTTTTAATGGAATAGCAGACATGTACAATGCTACTCAGAATTATGCATTTGCCTTTCAAACTGGGGCATTGTGTCATCGACTGTTAACACTCGTAACTTTTTCTGTCAGCCTCCTTTACGTTCCAAAAGATACTCTTTTTCTCGCCATTTTTTTTCTTCTGCATCACATCCATATTGAAAATATATAAATCACTGTGTCTCCCACTTAAAATTAACTACATATGCCATGCCAGAGGATCTCAGCGTTCACAAAGAGTTGATGCCGCAACAAAATGTACAACATCCATTGCTTATGGCCTGTTCGGTTCTCTTGCTTTTCTACCCCCACTCAGACAATGAGCAATATCCCACGGCAAACCTTGAAGTTTTCTATTTTCTTTGGAGGCAGAATTGCTTGTAAATTGGATGTTTGCTTGGGATTAGCTTTGAGATAGCAGGATTTGCACAGTTTTTTACCGGCGGTGCATCGGAATAAATCAAGGTTTTTGTGGAATTGTAATTTCCCTCCAACGGTGGCGTGTGTTTTTTTGTCACTCTCTCTATTTTGATGTTTGTTAGCTTTTGTGTCACTGCATATATTGTGCACATCATTTCACTTTGCCCGTGATTGTGTTTGTTTGAATGCAACGCATTGCATTTACTGCTACCGCGTGTCACACGTGGCCTCCTCGCTACGAGCATTCCCACACCAAATCCTTCTGTTGGATGCTCAGCCGCTTGTTTTAATTTCCGCGTGTGCCCCTGGCCAAATGCTGCAGATGCACACTCTGCTACAATTCGCAGATCTTTTGTGCTGTTCATGTGTCTTAATATTTTGTTGTCTGTTTGCAAACAATATTGACTATTCACCAAAACTGTAGTATACATGCTGAATTTTGACATTTTCCTTTTTCCGTATAGATATTTTTGTTTAGATATTTTCAAGCATTTTTGTTATCTTTTCTCCACGGTAAACATCTATCATGGGCATGTCAAACAGTTGTATTTGTTTTTGCTATATAGTGGCTGGCTATTTTCTTTGTATGGAAATAGAATTTTCACAAGCGGCCCGTCAAAAGGAGGTTCAATTAATGCACCATGTATTGTTCTAAATGGCAATGTCTTGCATATATCTTGCGTATGTCATAATGTCCAAGTTTGAAACAACACACGAAGACAGAGAAGACAGGACACAAAGACCTGTAAGTTGCTGCGGAGCGTTCATTCGCAATGTTCAATTGTGAGCGCACACAGAAACCAACCAAATTCTGCCAATCTCACCCACTCGCTGGCTCAGTTTGGATATGTGTAGAGCAAGGAGACCCAAGTCTGGTGCGGGGAGGAAGGGGGGGATGGGGGTGGTATAGTGGGGGAAATGCTGGTGACCGTAAATGCACAAAAAAGGCCACGTTCATTGGGCACTGAAAACCAGAGCTTGTTTCTGCATTTAGGAAGCTCGTGCAGGAGCAAGGCAGGCTTGTGCTGGAAGAAAACCAGGTCCTCCTGCAGCAGCTCGATCTGCAAAAAGCCAAGCTCAAAGACTCGCAGGGCACACATAAGCAGGAAGGTGGGCGGTAGGGATGCAACGATGCACCCCCACCACAATTACGTGAATTGTCACAATGCAGGGTCACGATTCACATCACTTGTGGCGCATGCATAGAATCTTTAATGGTGTGATTCTATAGAATGTGGCGGTGTTAAAGAAAAAACGCACACTACAAATATGAAATAATCGAATATTAGACGCACGATTGAATGTGCGCATTGTAAGCGGGAGAATTATTTTTTATTGGATAATTTTTACACGGCCGTTAAGTTTTTAGCTGCTGATTTCCATGCATTTGAATGGAGATGGATGCTCCTTAATCTGCATCCCTATCATTCTAACTGAATGCACAACCTTTACTCATGTGTCCTTTGTACAAAAATAAACACGATTGCATTACGATGTTTGTTCTTGATTTTGCTCCCCGCCCCTCTTCTGTAGATATCATTGGCTGCAAAAACATTGTGCTCTCAGCCAAATCCTCACACACACGCTCGCAAACACTGGCTGTCGTTGTGGTGCAATGTACCGCCGCGTTAATATGCAGAGCGCGAGATGACAGCTGGTACTCGGTAAACATTAATACCTTAACGCCTTCCTTGTCGGTTGCCCAAAGTGTCAAAGTTGATGAAGCGGTTGGAGAGGATGGAGGCGCAAAGGCGAGAGGCGCTGGACCAGCTGACAGACGCGCGGGTGGCCCTGGGGTCCTTGCAGGAGCGCCAGCGACAACTGCAGGAAGCGGAGGAAGTCAAAGTTGGGCGGGAGGAACACCTGGCAGCTATTTCAGACTTGCAGAGGTGCCGGTTGTCATGTTTTTTTTATTAATTACAGTTTCTAGAATGTTCAGCTCTTTCTGCAATCAAGAGGTTGTTTTTTTCGTTCTTTGAACAAATTAAATAATGGAGATATTTATTTATTAGTTCCCACCACTACAAACAATAAATGATTATCCTACATGTGACGAACAGATGAAGTCTCAATCGGGTCAGATATGTGCCAGAGAGGCACCACGTGTATAAGCAAAGAGAAAATTTACTTGGCTTATTTGTCTATTATCAATCTTACCCATCTATAAAATATAACACTGTAGGACAGATGTAGTCCTCTTTTTTTTGGTCCTATGACTCTGTGGAGATGTCGCTCCGTGCTACAATATGCAACAAGGCGTTGCCATGTTCTATTGGCCTGACATTTGAGCTGCAATCCATTATGTTCAATGCTCTTTGCATTTTTTTTTACATATAATCCCAACCCGTGGCTATTGGTGACCGCGTGTTTGTTAAAGGCAAGAGCAGCTGAAAACACAACTTAGTGTTATTTTATATTTATAGACCGACAAGACTGTGCGTGTCCTGGGCTATCCGACGTGACATTGAGGTGTCGTTAATGAGCAATAAGATTTTCAATTCACTTTCAGGCATCATCGTCGTAGCAACCTATTGACGAATTTCAAAGTGTGCCAGTGAAATCTTGGTGACGCAGTGACATCTTAGCAACTCGGGGACAAAGCTTCAGGCCCAATCTCGGACAGCCCATGGACATGGCCTTGCTAGGTATATCCAAGAGGTTTTCACGGTTGTGCTGTACATGGTTCTTTGATTGGTTTTTTTGATTGGTATTGCGTATTGTTCAGCACGATGTCCGACGTTTCGCTCCACGTGCTGGGAGCTTCAGAAATTGAAAAAGCTCATTTTCCCCCTCGATTATATAGCATTGCTGACTGCCCTTGGTGTTTCTGTTTCTTGATGCCGATTGGTTCAGTTCCTCGCAACGTTTGGTGCCATCTTCAAGAGCTATTGTTACCCGCTGCAAGGGCGCTTCGCATTCTGGGTTGAATTTCCCTTTGGTATTGCAGTTTCAGTTTGGATGATCGTGAGGTTCCATTTAGTTTAATAAATGTGGTCAGGAATACAATTAGGGGTTGTGTCGGAGTTAATTTGCAGGGTCACAATTAAGGGAAGAGGTTTCATTTGATTGAATATCTCCCAAATGTTGACTAATTCTGATTTGGATCGTCGGTTAAAAGTTTTGCTGGTTTAGTCCATAGTTCAGACTCTGGGGAGAGGTTGCAGAGGATTAAACGGTTTTAATCTAGGCTTGTATGGTCCAAATATTTTCACTTCTTGGCTTCCCGGTGTGTCGTTCTCATTCGCAGGCGTGCACAGGAGCAACACGATCACAGCTGCACTCAGCTGCAAGGGTTGCGAGCGCAGCTCACAGCGTGTCAGGAGGACAAGCGCGTGGCGGTACAGGACAAGTGTCGCCTGGAGGCCCGCTTGAGTGTGCTCGATTCGGAGCTCGAAGCCGCCAAGAAAACCACCAGGTAAAAGGGACGTAACCATTGATTGGCATTGGTGGTTACGCTCGCGATGCACACGTGTCGGTGAGGATCAATGATTTACAGATGATTTATATTTATTGGTGGAACGGTGGCGCAGTGGCTTGCGCTTGGAGAAAAGTACCGTCGTGATTTGCCTGCACAGCCCTCCACTGACAACGTAGCCCCACAGTAACCCACAACAGCACTATCCAGGCGGCAGTCTGCTTAGCTTCCGAGATCTGACGAGATTGGGTACATTGTGGGTAATTTGGTTATAGGCGCTGTGTGTGTGGGTGCCGGATGGCAATGGCGGAGCCAGGATTTTCAGGTAGGGGGAGGGCAACCCCTCCAGCAATGAAAAACGATAGGAGTTGTTAGTGAGTAAGGACTTTCCCTTGCTTTTTATTCGACGCGTGTGTGGCGATGGCACAGCCATCGATCGAGGGTCAAATTCGAACCGCGTTGTGTGATCGGCATCGCGCTCGCTGAAGGTGTTGATGCCTTCAGGGAAGTCGTGTACTGTATACGCAACTGCGCACAATTCTGTGAGTCACTTATAACTGTTTTGCCGTTACTTATTGCCAATTACGGACTGAGACGATTGTCCCATCATCTCAGAGTCCCTGGCACATAATAATATGCTACACAGTGGCAGTGGGGGTCGCAAAATGCCGATTTATTACTAATAAACCCCAATGATTCGATCTAAATTAGGGATTTCGATCGGATCATTGGGGGGGCATGTGCCACCCCCCCCCTCCTCCACTGGCTCCGCCAGTGCCGGATGGCAATGTTTTATTTGTCTTACTTTGAGAGAAGACCTTAACGATCGTTGGTGGGATGCTGTAAGAGCAGACTGCTTTTTGTGTTTAATTTGTTGTCATTCCCCCGCACCTCCAATGAACACGTTTGGCTACGTATGGTGCAAAAGAAGTTCAACATATATGCATGCAGTTTGGCGGTCGTGACGACCACGTGACCTTGTTTTGGTTGCACACTTCCCACGGCAGGCGCTACCAGCGGAGCATGGCGACGCTAAAGCAGAAGCTCGAGGAATCGATGGGAAAAGAGGATCTGGCTAGCCGGTACCTCAATAACGTCCTGGGTCTTGCGGAACAAGTCGTCAAGGAGAGGGACGAACTGCAGCTTCTGGTAAACAGCACATTTTCCCCTTTAAACATTTAGTGGACATTCAGTTAAATAATTGCACTTACATTTTGTTTAGCTTCTTCCGCGATTTCACGTGCAGTTGTGATATCAGTGTAATGCCATGAGACGAATCCATTGAGATCTCTCGTAGAGCAGTGAAATCGTACATGGTTAAGAGAGCGGCCAGCGGAAGCGGATATTGCAGTTACCTCCGATATCCCTTCAAGTGGCTCCACACGATGGAGGGCAGCACTCTCTCACCCCATCTGCATGACATAGCAATGTTTGTAACAGGTCACACCAATATTATAATTATCAGATCTATAATTTTTCAAAGACATGCTGTCTAGTGAAATAATTGTACTTATTAGCCAGATCCTTGAAGTTGATTCCACCCTAAAGTTGTACCGCTGAATGCCGAGCTCATGTCATGATCAGCATCGTGTCATGATTTATCTGCTGCTGGATGAATGGCTTCACAATCTGTCGCCATCTCTCACGGTCCCATCATGTAGCAGTCTATCCAGTGCCTGCGCACCATCTGATTTCATCCTTGTCGTGTTTCTCTTCTGTGGCTGCCAAATCTATATTTGTCTCGACCATCAGAAATCATCTTTGATCATGAACTATTCTGCTTTATGTTACACTCTCTATCTCGCAGTTCATCTTTCCCCTAATTGATGTCATAACTATTGTTATTAAACAAAACAGCAATATTGAAACATTACAAACAAATCTTAATCAAAAATGGTTGGAGGTTTATTTCCTCTTTGTTACATCTCTTTCATGCAAAGTGTTTTAATATAGTAATACATCTTACCTGAATAATCTTCAGAGAACATGCAATACAGATGTAGTGGCATCTCAGATGTCACTGTGTGGTGCCGGGCCTAGAGAGCCACGGCGTGCGATGTACTCACATTGCGGACATCACGTATGTAGCGACATCGTGAATGTCGCTGATTAATGTCGGCTCTGGCGAGGCACGGCGTGTGATGCACTCAGATCACGGACACCCCGTAGGTGGGTGTAGTACCAGCCCTAGAGGGGGCTCAGTGAGCGCTGGGATAGCGCTAAGTGGCACTACGCGTGGCGTGCGGTGCTGACTCCTACAGGAGGGAGTGTGAGAGTGTCAGCCATGGGATGAGGTTACCCTGGGCCATGGCACTCTGGTTGACCCCGGAAGGCACGTGCCCAGTAAGATCTACAAAGGGGCCCCAGGCGGGGGCTAGGGGGTGGTCACGTGTCGGGGGAGAGATCCTACGGGAAGGGTCGAGAAACGACAAGAGGTTTCTTGAAGGTGGTCGTGGCCAAGGGCGGGGCCAGCCACGACCCGGGAGCATAAAAACCGGGGACGACACAGGGACCGGGGTTCAGCGTTGCTGTCATCATCCAAAGATCTACGTCCAAGATAAGTCACCAACACGTGGACGAGGACCCAAGCCAGGGTTCTGTCCATTGTAGCTACTCCCAGTAACTAGCGATGTTAGCCTGGTGGTCCACCACCACAGGTTATCTGGTGAATGGGCAGTAACCCCTTTGTGTTAATGTGTCGGTGTAAATAAATGTGTTGCCTCCAAGAAGCACGTCTGCGACTCTGTTGAATCCACTACACAGAGAACAAATATCGGATTTCCTATTCAAATGTAACTCGGTTGTCCATTGCTGTTTGACACGGATTTTAAACTTTTGTTTATGAGAAAAAATACATTTAAGTTACAATCAAGTTTGCCATCATAGCATGCTCTAGTCATGTCGTTGCATTGCTGTATTAATGCCAGTGATGTCATTAGAGTGCTCTAATGGTGCACATGACAGTTGTTTTTATGTATTTTCTTCTCATTAAGAACGGATCAAACTTTTGTCGGAAAGCCTATTTACAAATCTAAGTAATCAGAGCAGTCTTTTACTTGGCCGTACATCTTCTTTTAATCACTCTAATTCGGTATCACTTTCATATTATTCCGAGTGTAAAATAGTACTTTAGAATATTTAATTAGTGTCCATAAAACCACGGTTACTTATTTAAAACACCAGAGGAAATAATAACAATAAATCTTACATACTGCCTTGGAGTGGGGCTGCCATTCTACCCACTCCCGTGTGTTACGTGTCAGAATTATTAACTAAACTCTCAGCCCAGTTTTTGCATAGTTCTGATGACATGATCAGCCAAAAAAAAAAGATAATCTTTTTGCTGCAGTTGGGATGTCCTTTGGCGTCAGGTAAGTCAAATACAGTTTCTGTACCACAGCTTGTGCTGCTTTTCTTGTGCCTGTGGGCAAAGTAAATCATGAATGCCAGACTCACTTGACCCTTTTTACATACTTTTACTGAACTTGCCGTGTTGTGTTTAAATTATTTGAAATCTTTGACGCTTAATATCTTCAGATCTACGAAGCCTAATGAGCTGAAAATTTTTCCCACAGACTCGCCTCGCGTAACAATTCAAGATTTCATTTAAAAACCGGTCCAGGTCCCGCCCATGGTGGTCCTATTCTTGTTTTTAACTACATTTTAAAATTAATAGTCGTATATTTTACTCCCCCCCCCCCCCCCTTTTTGGAATCAGGAATGTTTGCTCCGACATACGATGCAAACGTCTGGTCCAATCAGAGCGACTGTTGCTGGCCAGCCTATGACCAATGAAAAGAGCGCTTATATCGCCGCTCGTCATGGCGCCGGAGCGGTCGCTGTAGCATCCCTCTTCCTAAGCGCGAGAGCAACAAGTACACAAAATAATTAGGTAATAAACTCCCTAAAAAAAGTTTTTAAAAAACAACGGTTTTATTAACAACTTCATTTTACTCACGGTCCGAGAAGTACGTCAGTGGCGCCTGAGACACGCGGCGCCTGCTTTTTGTGCGAGCCGATTCCACAGTCTAGGGACGGCGGCGTTTTTTACCTACACAAAAATATATAATTAATAAGCCGTTCACACAAAAAATTGTAATTGCTTGAAAGAAGGCAATTAATTGATGAATTGATGCCGATTTTCATACAGGCATGCATTGTCACCGGATCTGAGTACGTGTGCAAAATTTGGAATTGATTGGACAACAGGAAGTAGACTAACTTTTGATTACAGGATTTGACCACGACACAGGAGTCAAGTAAAACCGTTGAAAAAACTCGATTTTCAATCCCACACACTTTTATTTGCACTCAAAAGTAGAAAATAAGTTATTTTGACCCCGGAATTAAGCACATTTTGTGTTCAATAAAAATGGGTGGCTTCCTTTCGATGTTTATTTTTCTTTATGCGAGCCACCCACTTTTGCACCCACTTAAAAGTGTGTGTTTTTTTTACCTTTTTTTTGTTATTTTTTGCATGGCCGCTTAGGCACAGCGAATACTCGCAGGATAGAATTGCTCAGCGAATGAGGGGTTTATCCTGCTGGGATTGGACATTGCTGCCACGTAGTTTTCTCTAGTCGTTTTTAGCAATTGAGTTGATGCAGTGTCAGGGTTCAACTTAAGACGTCTTTGCGTTTTCTATTCATTTGTCATGGCGCAGTGTATAAACGCGTCCCCAGATTTGATTAACTATGCTACACGTTGTCTAACAGCATATTCATTACACTGTGTAACACATTTTTAATATATTTTCTTGTTCCTGGGTAGTAAGTGTTATTTCCTAATTGCTTATGCCTCAAAAGTACATAAAATGGCTATTATTTCCCACAAACTTTGCTTTTGTGACCACGACAGTGATATTTTGAAATGCACCTATTTTCTAGAACATTCCAGATAGATTCAGTGCTGAGTAAACTTGGAGTAACTTCTATAACATTCTAGAATGTAAACTTGATTTGGTGCTTTCGTGACTGCAGGAATTGCTCTTTGGTTTTTTCAGTAAAGTCACGTAGAAATAAGAAATAATAAGAAATATTAAAATTACATAATAGCATACGACGTTTCGATTGCAACGCAAGCAATCATCATCAGGCATAGAAGAGCTAAATTTAAGAGAGAGAGGAAACACAGAACTGCAGATATATATACAGACACCTAATTAGAAGCACATCAAATCGAACAAGATTTAGTAAAATTTGGAAACAATATAATGCAACACAGAGGGTCGGTCAAAACACAATTAACACATAGTCTGGCTGATTACGTTATTTCAAAGATTGCTAAATTATAGGTTAATAGTGATAGAGTACAGATCGCAGACACATATATAGACATCTAAGCAGAGAGAGTTAGCACAGAGACACTAAATCTTGTTCGATTTAATGTGCTTCTCCATCTCTCTTTATCTCCCCTACATGCTAAGGCCTCGGCACAGAGACCCTGTCTCTCTGTGCTCCATACGTTGTGTCTCTCTTTGTGTCTCTGTGTTAACTCCCTCTACTTAGGTGTCTGTATATATATCTGCGGTTCTGTGTTTCCTCTCTTAAATTTAGCTCTTCTATACCTGGTGATGATTGCTTGCGTTGCAATCGAAACGTCGTATGCTATTATGTAATTTTATTATTTCTTATTATTTCTTATTTCTACGTGACTTTACCGAAAAAATCAAAGAGTAATTCTAGAACGTTCCAGTAATATAAATAGTATAAATACAGGGGCCTTAAGCCCACCAGTTCAGTTTAGTTCCAGCTGCCTAAATGGATACATATCTGCATTTTTCTGAGATGGCATCAAGAGGCTGCAAGCATCCGGCAGACGCATTTTGCTATGTCTGCGGGCAGTTTATCAAGACAAGAGTGAAAAAGTACTCTGTGGAAGCATCTGCTAAGATGTGTGAGGCCTACAAGGCATATTTTGCCATGCCTCTCGGGGATCAAGACAAACCCTGGGCACCTCATTTCACCTGCGAGCAATGCAAAAAACACTCTGGAAAGTAAGATGGACAATTGTTGCTCGGAATTTTATGTTATAAAATTTGTTACATATTTTCTAATTGTAAAAGTTTTTTTATTTTAAAATGTTTGACAATTTTCAATGTTATTGAAAAAATATATGATATATGAAAAATATTGCGAGAATCTCTTACA